GGCGCCAACCCGGACCCGCGCTTCCCGGCCAGTAAGTGGGCCGCCCCGCCGCGGGCTGCGGGCCGGGCACCGGCGGGCTGCGCGCTGGGCGTGGGGCGGGCAGCCTGCCGCGGCGCCAGGAGTTGGGTGCGGGAGCTGGGGAGCTTCCTCCTGCGGGGCTTGGGGGCTGGTGTCCAAGGAGAAGCACTTAGTAGCGCGGAAGTCCCGCGGACAGGTGCTGGTACTCAGTAGCCTCAGGCGTCCCCAAGCGGGAGCTGTGCTCCGCGGGAAGACATCCGAGGGCCGAGGGAGGCACACGCACACGCACCCCCAGCTGAGCTTAGGGATCAAGGGGCGCAGAGGGTGGCGAGGAGGGCCTGGCCGGGAGGGAGGCCGCCCGGCGGGATGCACTGCAGCGCCCGGCCCCGCGCGCTCCTCAGCCAAGTCTGGACCAGTGGGAGGGCGCGCGGCTCCGGAGGGGGCTCTACATGGGCCCCGCGGGTGCCTTCACGGGGCCTACAGCAGAGAAGCGAAGAGGAAGAGGCAAAGCACCCGAGGGGCTGAGCTTTCAGAAGAGAGCACCCTCCTTTCCTAACCTTCCAAAGTTGGAGGTTTCCGTCGGATCCCAAGTCCCTGCCTGAACCCCATTCGCCGCCGCCTGTGACCGGTTAACCCCAGCAGGGCTAGGGTACCAAAAGAGGAGTAATCTCTCAGCACCACCCCAACACACACTTCTCTGCGCTTTTTGGGGTGCCAGAGGATGCTGAGACGGGGGTTGTAGGTGAGAGCCAGGGTCAACCGCGATGCGCTCCGGCACGCTGTCCCACTGCACCGCCCGGGGCAGCGCCAGCGATCTCCAGCGGCTGGGCTTCAGCGGCTGGCACCGGGCAGCCTCTGTGCAGAGGGCGCCGTCGGGGCGGGCTGGGCGGGTCACGGGCGAGGGCAGGGTCTGCTCGGCCTGGCCCTGGCCTCGGCCCCAGCCCCGGCCCGACGCTGTGCGTTTGTCGCTTACAGTCTCCCGCTTCATGGGCCCGGCGAGCGGCATGAATATGAGCGGCATGGGCGGCCTGGGCTCGCTGGGGGACGTGAGCAAGAACATGGCCCCGCTGCCAAGCGCGCCGCGCAGGAAGCGCCGGGTGCTCTTCTCCCAGGCGCAGGTGTACGAGCTGGAGCGACGCTTCAAGCAGCAGAAGTACCTGTCGGCGCCGGAGCGCGAGCATCTGGCCAGCATGATCCACCTGACGCCCACGCAGGTCAAGATCTGGTTCCAGAACCACCGCTACAAGATGAAGCGCCAGGCCAAGGACAAGGCGGCTCAGCAACAGTTGCAGCAGGACAGCGGCGGCGGCGGGGGCGGCGGGGGCGCCGGATGCCCCCAACAGCAGCAGGCTCAGCAGCAGTCGCCGCGCCGCGTGGCTGTGCCGGTCCTGGTGAAAGACGGCAAACCGTGCCAGGCGGGCGCCCCCGCGCCGGGAGCCGCCAGCCTCCAAGGCCACCACGCGCAGCAGCAGGCGCAGCAGCAGGCGCAGGCGGCGCAGGCGGCAGCGGCCGCTATCTCGGTGGGCAGCGGTGGCGCCGGCCTGGGCGCACACCCTGGTCACCAGCCGGGCAGCGCGGGCCAGTCCCCGGACCTGGCGCACCACGCCGCCAGCCCCGCAGCGCTGCAGGGCCAGGTCTCCAGCCTGTCCCACCTGAACTCCTCGGGCTCGGACTACGGCACCATGTCCTGCTCCACCTTGCTATATGGTCGGACCTGGTGAGAGGACTGGAGGCCCGCCCTGGCCCAGCGCGCTGCCTCGCCACCTCCCCTCCGCCTGCCACACAGACCACCGTTCACCGCTGCTCCACGCGCTTTGACTTTTCTTAAGAACCCGTCCACGTTTAGACCAAGGGAAACTACACAGAGGCCAAACTGCTGGACATCTTTCTTTCCTTTATTTTTTCCTTTCTAAAATTTGTGGATTTTTTTTAAGAAAAAGAAAATAAAACCAGCCAAGCAAATTCAGTTCCTTACGGAGTCTTTAAACACAGAAAGACATAGAAAGAACAGCTTCTGGGGTGTGTTTTCGGTGATTCTAAGGGGTTCCTCACGCTGGGGCGGGGCACAATTTGGAGAAGGCTCATCACTGTTGTGGACCTGGACTCCAGTGACCTCAAACTTCACTCTCTGTACACTTTTCCAGCGAAGTGAACTCGCCTGTAAATACCAGGATTGTTTTTTCTTTCTTTCTTTTTCTTTTCTTTCTTTCTTTCTTTCTTTTTTTTTTTTTTTTAAGAAGGAGGACAGGAGCTGGGGAGAGGGAAGATTCTTTGACATGACCCACTTGTGAATGACACAAAGGAAGTGCCCCTTCCAGGTGCCCTCTAGCCATTTAGGTTCAGTCCAGCCATCTCCGCCTAGAAAATTGTTTTGTTTGATGTGAACTTGTAGCTGTAAAATCCTGTCAAAAGTTGGATTAAATGCCTAGTTTTTAGTAATCTGTACATTTTGTTGTAAAAAAAAAAAAACCAACTTCCTATCCCCAGCCCCTCACATTTTTTAAAAATGGGCATTGATAAATCTGTGTATATTATTTGGCAGTTTGGTATTTGCCACGTCAGTCTTTTTCTGTTGTAACTTATGTAGATATTTGGCTTAAATATAGTTCCTAAGACGCTTCTAATAAATTATACAAATTAAAAAGGTTCTTTTTCTGATTAAAAGCATCTTTTGGGTTGATTTTGATTTGGCTTTAAATGACTTTTTTGGGGGGAACTTCTCTTTGGGCTGATGGGAGCTGAACTGTTTGGGTTTGAGCTCAAAGGATTCTGAACTGACTAAGGAGGTCAGGCCCCAAGTTTCTGTCCCATGGGAAGAGGGAATTTTCTGCTTTGGGAGTGAGTGGAATCAAACTGTGAACAGTCCTGAGACACCAGAGAAGGGCAAAGCTAAACTACTTCTACCAGGAGGCAGAGGAGGGAGGAAGAAAAAGAGACCACAGAACTCATTTTCAAAGTCAGCCTTCTATTTTTAGAAACCCAGCAACTACCTACTGTCCTCCTATACAGCTGAGGCAACATTTAAAAACAGTGACCCAGGACCTCCATTTGAGGTAACAGTGAATCAGTTTCATTTTTAGTAAATGAGTTGTTTCTGTAGTCCGAAACATCAAACCAGTTATGTAAATAATCCACAACCAAGCTCTTTCACAAAATTTGGTGGGTGGCTTTTTTCTTAAATCAAACTGAAGTCTTTTGGGGGGTTATTTCAAAAACAGCAGACCGTGCTCAGGGATTCAACACCTTCTCACGGCTGCGGCTGGGGTCCAGGCTGGACTGGGTGGCCGGACTCTGGATGCTTATCACAGGACTTTGGGATGTTGTTTCACATTTTGTTGCCATAGTTTCCATCTCTGGGCTCCTAAATCTTTGCAACAAACTGTCTTTTTCAGGTCCCACTCTTCCACTTGCTCCCCACTCCAGCAAAAAAAATCCTCTTACCTCCTTTCTTATACTTTCTACTTCCCTGGTCTCAGCTTTCTAGGTATACGTTTTGAGGAAACTGTTAAGGCTGCTGTGAGGGATGAAGCCTGGTGGTGGCAGAAGGAATGTTGTGGACAGAAAGAAAAAATCGGTCTTTTTGATGGGCTGTTATCCCTTGATAAACCTACAAAGCACAGGCAGCCTAGTGGGCTGCAGACAGATGCCCCTCCCAGCACTTTTCTTTAGACTTGGAAGGTTTGTTTGGGGAGAGATTCTTGTTTGGCTTCTGGCCTAGATTTTCAACTTTCTTTTTTCTTTCCTCTTCCTCACCTTTCCATTTCATTCTGTCCCCAACTCCTCACCATCACCACCACCAGCACCACCAGCACCACCAAGAGAAATAGATTGGCCACATCCTTGGCTGCACCTAGCCGTCCTCTTCCCGGCCTTCCAGAGGGCTCTTCTCCAGGGATAACTTAGGCCTGGAGGTGAGGAAGGGCTTTCTTCCAGAAGAGACCAGGCCTGGATACAGTGCTCCAGTTTCGGATATCCTGAAGGGACCTGGAGATTCTAGAAGGATGGTTAGTTGGGTCTAGTGAGGTGCGGATTGGAAAACATACAAAAAACTAACGAAGTGTGAGCATGTGTGCTAGAATGGGCAGCGACTGTTGTTCAGGGGCAGGGAGTGTAGATGGCTAGGCACCCCGCAGTGGGGCAGGCAGGTACTCCAGCTACTCTTCGGCTCTAGGGCCGGGCTTCTGTGAGGTGAGAGATGAGCTGGAACCCCCTCAAGCCTAGACGCTTTGGGGCAGGTAGGCAGGGCTACCCCTTCCCTCCCTGCGCCCGCCTTCCCTCACCCCCCACCTCGGCCACTTTTGCCAGTCACAGTTTCAGAGTGTTGTGTGGCACTCTCCCGGCCTTATCACCCTTGTGCTGGGTGGATTTTCTATCAAACACATTCTTCTTCCCTCCGCGGCTTAGTTTGAAGTCTGTTTACTTGTCCCGGGAAAAGGTGAATTCAGCCGGGTCTGCAGATGAGAGCCAGACAAACAGGGCCTCGGCCTCTTCTCCTATCAATCACTTGGGGTTCAGCCATCTCTGCTCCTGGCTGGGGGACTTTGTCGCAGCTACGGGGAGCAGCCAGTGGAACGCGGTCTGAAGCGTCTCTTTAGAGAAACAGGCGCGTGCTCATCTCGGTTCAAGAGGGCTCGCGGCTTGGCGACACGCTGTGCCCACGCAGCCCGGTCCACCAACCTCTGGGAAGTCCTGGAGTCCCCTAACCTAGATCTCCAGAAAGCCGGGCCCAGGTCCCTTCTAGCTTCACTGGAGGAGGAAGCAGCATTTCGGATGTGCCTGGCGCCAAGTGCTGCAAGTGCAGAAAACTTCCCCCGTGAAGGGTCCGGAGCAGTTGTGCTGAGAACCTGAAAAACTTTGCCTCCTCCAAAGTACACCCCAGCATCCCACCCCCACTCCCGAAGTAGGAGAGATTTTGCAGACAGCATGCCACCCCCTCTCTCTTCTCCCCCACCCCACCCCCACACTGCCACGTAAACACGAGGACTTTCTCGAGAGCCCTGGAGAGCCGCTCTAGTGGCTTCGGGGCCTGAAACCCCGGGCTTGGCTTGTTTGATGTTTAGCATCCCAAAGCGGCTCCCCACCCCCGCCCCAGCCTGGGAACCCAGAGCTGTGGGCCAGGAAGGAAGGAAAGTAGCCCTCTCAGCTGGCGGGCCTTGGGCTGGGCTGGGCTGGGGGGAGGCGAGAAGAGCCGGCCTGAGATGCCCTCCACAGGGGAGGGAGGGATCCTGGGCTGCTGCCGCCACTATACGGGCCCAGCTGGGATCCGGGAGGCTGGGAGAACAGGGCATGCCTTGGCCGCAGGGCCAAGGCTCGGAATAGGGGCTGTAACCAGCGAAGTCCACGCCAGGCCGGGCCCACTCCCGAGAAACACTGGGGCACTTGGAGATCGGCGAGGCCCGGCTCCTGCCCAGGTCCCCCCAGGAGGCAGGTTTCCCCGCTGGTTAGGGCTTGGCCCTTCATAGGGAAAGACCTGCTAGGAGTCTTCGGAGGAAGTTTAGATTCTCCTGGGCCGGGGCCAGGGAGGTCCAGTGGCAGTGCTCGAATCCGGCCTCCTAGTCTCTCTCGGAAGAAAGCTCAGACTTTAGAGGCCGCGCGGGCTGGAGCGCGCTCTCCGCGTCCCGCCGCGGTGCGGGGCTCTCTCCAGGCGCCACCGCGCACAGGTAGCGGGAGTCTCTCCCCAGGCTCAGGCGATCCGGGAGGAGAGGAAATGCGAGCGAGGTGTTCTGACTTCCACCTCGTTAGGGGACCAGGTAAGGTCGGTGCTTTTTGTATTATGTCTTTATCTTAAAAGTGGGTCAATTTAAGGTAAGGAAAAAAAACCCAGGATCTGTGTGAACTGTGCTGATAAAGACTGACCCCCTTTCTAGAGCAAGTCAGGCAGACATTCATTTTCTATAAACAAGGAGAGTTGTGAGAAGCTGCCTTGAATTCTGATCCGATGTCTACCATCCCTCTAGACACAACTCCCCCTCTGTACGCCCCCCCCCCCAGTTGTTAGAGGAAGTAGAGTGAGCAGGTGATTTTATTTGTGGAGAACTAGGAAGCCTATTGGGAAATGTGAATCTGAGATGTTACAGTTCTTACAGGGTTTGCTGGTTTGTTTGTTTCAAACACAGTTTTCTTTGTAAATGGAAAGAAGCGGCACATGGGTATTGGGATGATGAGGAGCAGAGTTTTCCTGCTTACTAGAACCCAGTTAGGAGATGCAGAGTCCTGCCTTACCTACCTGGCTGGTTGGTGTGTTTCCTTGTGCAGTTGTGTTCATGGGGGCTTCTGACCACCCTCAGTGAGTCCCAGCCTGGCAATCTGCAGCAACTTGGAACACAGAAAGTTTTCTGGTGTCTCCTCAATGAGTGACCTGACTCCACTCACCATTTTCTGCAAGATTGCCCACCCAAGTGGATGCAGGAATTGGTACAAATGGAAATAAAGGTCTGCTTTATTGAAAGGATGGCATGAGCCTTTACTTACCCCATAGAGTTGTGTTTCTGAACTTTGTTTGATGAGACTTAAGGGAATGGAAGAAGAGCAGGCTCAGAGACTTGGCTCAGAAGCAGTTTCTTCCTCACCTGAAACCTTGGATGAAGTGGCAGGCTACATTTCTCTCTGACAGTGACCTAATACCCAGTTTGGCGGGTGTCCTGGACATCTCTCCCTGGCCTCTTGTGATAATGTTTCCAGTATCATCTGTGCTCCCTAAACATTTATTACCTTTGTTATTATGACTTGTGGCAAAGTTTTGGAAAGTGTGAGGTTTCAAGAAGGTTTTCCAGTTTTATTCCTTTTTGTTACTTGCAGAACAGTATAATATAAATTGTGTTACCTTGCCTGAATGATAAATAAAACATAAATGCTGAGGTTGCTAGGATGTGGTAAAGAGAACTCTTTCTTCTGACTTAATATTCACATCTGACTCTGTTCACTCTGTGTGTAGGTAAAAGTGGTTGCATATAAATATTTGATTATATATGTATGCATTTATAGACGTATATAATATTTATCTCTATCTTATATACATGTATGTCTTATATAGTTGTGCAATATTTTACAAAAATTCATATAGAATTGGATTTTATAGAACCTGTTAAAGTGAATGCATTTATTACCTCAATTAAGATATAATCTGGAGTTGGTTCCCTTAAAATCAAATTAACAAACTTTCACTTTGCCCACTTCAAGTTGGAATATGTACTTATTGTCACAGAAAATCTGGAGAGCTAATTATGCCTGGGGAATATTAAAATTTATTCTGAAAGAATTCGAGGTTGGTACCTGAAACACAGCTATGGATGAGACTTTCTGAAACAATTTATAACAAAAATTGTTCTCCCATACGGAACTTACATTATCCTCTAATAAACATGTTCATATCAATACTACTGCTAACAAAAACTAAACAAACAAAAAAGGAAACATTTCTGCTCTTCATCTACAGCAAATGTCCTCTTTATCGTGGCCTTCACATGGCAGCAGAAATAAGAGAGGAGGTCTGGATGCTGTCGGACAAGAAAACACACACACACACACACACACACACACACAGATTTCACACGTTTAGAGCAATCCTGTCTTTGATTTCTAGATGGCAGTTGTCAGTAACAGCAGGTTATTTCTCCATGTGTTAAACATTGCAATTTTTTTGATGACTGTTGATAATTTCATTTCTACAAAACAAGAAATGTCAAACCATGAGAAGTGTCCTCGGATGTCTTTCTCCTGTCATTGTGCCCTGGAGTCATTCTGTGGAAAATCATCCAGAACCAGGCAGTCTAAGGTTTGCTTCACATTCTCCTTCCCAAAGAAGCTGCTCTAAATGGTCCAAAGCTCTAGGAAAACCAGTGTTTATTTGACCGAGTGCTACTGATTTGCCTGATCTCCTGGCACAGGCTCAGCTGAGTGTGTGCGCAGATGTAAACCTGGGAATTATCATAATGACTCGAAGAGGACTGAGCCGGTTCCTCTGTGTTGGCTGCTTGCTCTGCTCTAACTCAGAACTCCGGGACAGTATTTAGTGACTCACTATGGCCATGTGTAGCATGAACTCTGCAAATGCTTCCTGAGAACCAAGTCCCTAAACAGACTTGTGGTGACAGGCTTTTTCAGAGGAGATTCAAGCCTTAGAGGATTAGGCCTCTCCCTGCCTGGCCACTCGAAGGTGCCTCGAGGTCTGAGGCCTGGATGGAGATGGGGGAGGGAGTCTGCTGGGCTGTGAGGGTTTTCTCCTTCCCTCTGCCCGGGTCTAGTTTTCAGGAAGAATTACAGCCCCTCGCTACACAGGTGTGCACAGAGCATATATTCCCACCTCTAGCCAGGTTAGATGGAAGCTCCAATTAGTTCATTATTACCCACAGACCTGCAGTATTAACTGCAATATTGGCTCCTGCTCTCCGGCAGGTGTACTGAGGCTGAGAGGCCCGGGGCAGTAAATTTTGAAAGTCTTGCATTGAATCATACCTGCATCTCATAAAACAGGTAAAGCTCACACCCTCTCTACTCACCCACATAGACTATTGGTTTCACATTGAAGTCAAATGGGAGAACCTTTGGAAGATAAATAACTAAAAAAATCAACCCCCTCATAGCCCATAATCCAGCCCTAGTTGGGGCTAGAGAAAACCTTTGAGACGTATGGAAGTACGAAAGCACCTTGACATTAACCTTATTGTATGAACCATTTTTGAACAATTGCAATGTCACATTAACACGGACCAGCTGTTGCAAAAATCTTGACATGGCTTAAATACTTAGATCTGTTGGCTGTATGTCTCTAAATGCTGAGATGTACATGTAGGCAGAAAGACAGAATAGAGAAGAGAGGACTGGCAAGGATGAGGGGAATTGCACCTGGTAAAAAGTGTGTGGGGTCCCTGTTTGTGGGTGGTTGTGACACTGAGGTGCTTGTTGCTGGGTCAGAGTGTTGGGGTGGAGTGAATGAGTGTGTGGTGTGTGTATGTAGTGCTTAAGGGTAGGCTGGTGGAGAAGGCTTGGAAGACGACTGGGAGGCGGTGTGTGCACCATGTCTGAGCTCTGGGCTGGTAACACAATGGCCACGTAATTATCTGGCTGAAACATGCTCAAATGGCAAAAAGTTGCAAAATAGATCGACCTCCCTGAAAAGAGAGGGAGCTGGTTACAGAGGTCTGCAGCCATCATCCTTTTTTCAATACATTTTAAACAAGAGGATCTAGGGAGTGATTCTGATTCAATACACATAATCAGTTTGCAAGTCTTATTTCCATTTGAAAACAGGGCCATTTGCAATCATAAGAGCTGGACACTCGCTGAAAGATACAGAGCACATTCCCAGCAGATGATGGGTGACAGAATCCGTAGGCGAGCACTAAATATTTTCTTCAAGCCTCAGACCTGTGTGTCTCTGGATGCAATGTATTTTAAATGGAATATTCCTGTTGAATATATAATTTAATTGCTTAAAAAATCAAGACTCCACGGTTGAGAGGCAAAACAGCCAGAAAGGTGACAGAGGAACCCTGTTGACTGTCCTCCTCCTAATAGTTCTGTAAGAATGCATTGGGTAAAAAAAAATTGATGAAAAATTCGAATTTATTTTTAAAGAAACAACCGCCAGAGGTGTTGCCGCACGCTAAAGTTTGCGGCTGGAGCCGCGCATCCCTCACCTGATGTGGGGGACTAGTGAGGAGGCTGCTGGTCAGAGTTGCAGAGCCTGGAAAAAGCCCAAAGGGCAAACCCGGCCTCCGAGCTCCACCGCCAAAGTCTTAGGGGACCCTTCGTGGCTTTGAGGTTCCCAATTGGTTGTCAGGGTCTCTATGAGAAGTGTGGGCACTTGAAATAGTGAGCTGTTTTATGGTCTCTCGTGGAAACTCTGGTTTCCAGGACTAAGAGAAGCAGCTGTCGGCTGCCTCCCCCTTCCCTGCTCGGAGTCCCCTCCCTTCCCCCATCCCACCCCCATCCTGAGGCCTCACCCCGCCTGCCCACTTCTTCTCCACCAACGCACCAGCCCCAGTCTCTCGGCTCACCCCGTCCCCCGCCGCCCCCACCCCACCCCAGCCTGTGACTCCATCCGGTTCCCGCGGGAGGAGCGACCTCTGCGGCGCGCCGCCTGCCGACAGAGCCACCAAGCCTCTTAGAAACCACACAAACTTGGTCGCCTGGTGTGCGACAGTAGGAGCGTCCCGTGCATTTAGATCTGTTTATTTCCATGAACGTAAGGCTACTAATTCACGGGCTTACCACAATGCTGCAAACTCTAACTCAAGCGAATTTTTACAAAGAAGATCTTAAAGAACAGTCTTGGGAGAAAATAATAAATAAAAAGTCAGCAACTGCTGCTGTTTCTCTAGCAAGTTTTCTTAAGAAAAGCAAGATTCCTCTGTTCAGATAACCATGTCTAATGAACTACCTAGTAGAAACTCAGTCTAAATAGGGTATGCTTAATGTTGATTCTATTGTTTTTATTTCAAATGTGGCTCTGTTATTAACCCCAGGTTGATGTGTCTTCATTAAATGCTGTGATTTTAGACGTTCTTGCAAGGTATCAGGCCCCTGGAAGATGGTCAACCAAGAAATGGGGTGGGGGATGAGTGGGTTTGCAACTGTGTTGGATTCTGCACAGCTTTTAGCCTGGCTTGCTCAATTTTCTGCAAAATTTCTTAAATAATCCCTACATCAAATAGGGACAAATAAGGACCACAAGGATCAAATAGAGACCACAAGGATCTAAACTCATCCTTTCCCCCTACACTTCTCTTATTATCCTTTTAAAACCCTC